TAAAACTGTACATTTTAGAGTGGCCTTTTATTGTGGCCAGTCTAAGGCACACCTGTGCAATAATCATGTTGTCTAATCAGCATCTTGATATGCCTCACCTGTGAGGTGGATGGATTATCTTGGCAAAGGAGAAGTGCTCACTAACACAGATTTAGACAGATTTGTGAACAATATTTGAGAGAAATAGGCCTTTTGTGTACATAGAAAAAGTCTTAGATCTTTGAGTTCAGCTCATGAAAAATGGGGGCAAAAACAAAAGTGTTGCGTTTATAATTTTGTTCAGTGTAGTTCAGGTATGTTTTTTTTAAGATTTATTATTGGCGTTTTTTGCCTTTATTACAATAGGACAGTGTAGACGAGACAGAAAGCGAAGTGGGAGAGAGAGGGTGGGTAGGATCTGGAAAGGTCCTCGAGCCGGGAATTGAACTCGGACGCCCGTAACGCAACAGCGTCATATGTCGGCGCACTGCCCCACTAGTCTATTGGCACCGATGGTTCAGGTATGTTTGACTAAGATTAGAGCTGCAGGATAGAAGCCCTCCAGGTACAGGGTTGGCTATGCCTGCCCTAGAGTCTACAGATGCATTTGTGAGTTTTTGCAGAATCATAAAAAAGTCCTAGGTTTCTTAGGATTGGCAAAATTGGTAACTATTACCGCTTTTCTACTGGGACTGGTGCAGGAGCAAGAGTGGAGGCTTGGCCAGGGCTCGTTTTCCAGTGACCAATGACTGATCAAGACCAGCAAGATTTCAGGCTGGTTTGGAAACAGAATTTGGGCACCAAATATTTTTTGTGTATGGAAAAGCACAGCTCAATTTCAGATTTGGCACTGGCACCAGCCCCAGAAAAGCAGAATCTGAGCATTCTGGCATGCTAGCAGGGCTGAGCAGTACAGTCGAGGTCTCTATGTAATTCCTAGGGCCTGGGGTCAAGGTCCTAAAGGATAAGCCCCAGGAAGAGTGTCCCTACCTTGCAGAGCGTTCCCCAACAACGCATCCAGTTCTGGGTTAAACTCTGCCTTCTCTTTCAGCATGTGGAAGAGCAGCTGGTTTTGGGTGGCACTGTTGATCTCAGTTTGCTTGAGACGCCCTTCCAACACCTTTATCTGAGATTCCTTCTGAGCAGCCTGCAGACCCTGAAAGCACACAATCAGGATGAATGACAAATGTGCTAATGCTTGAAAAATGATTGAAACTGTATGAGAATTGATCTTTTCACTTTATAGACTCTAACACAGAAGACCAAGCAGGGTAACAGTTTTGTGACTGGATACCTTGTTGATAGCCATGGACATAAAATGATCCAGTAGGAATCGAGTTTCAGACAGAGTGCAGGAACCAACCACAGCCGAGACATCAACAGCATCACCCTCCTCCTACATATGAACAACAACAGTAAGCCCTCGATATAATTCAGTCAAACTCCATTTATACTAACTTCAATGGTTTGATTTAGGCTGCATTTACATTGCATGGTGACCCAATTTCAATTTTTTTCCTCAAATGTGGCACAGATCGGATATGACCCACAAACGTGTAAGCAGGAAAAAACACATGGATTTCGATATTCTCAGATCGGTTTCAGGCTTCATTCATATGTAGAAATAAATCTGATGTGAATCGGATACGTGCATTTGCGTCTGCCATGTAAGCAGACAGATCGGATATTTCAGGTGGACGCTTTCCTGGACAGATGCTTTCATGGTTTTCCCACGGAACTGAGCTACTTTTATACTGTTGTTTGATGGAGTGGATTCCCGACGGAGGAAAACCATGGAAAAAACATGACTGGGCTAGTTTTGATTAACAAGTACTCTAGTTTCGTTTTGCAGACCTGGCAACCCTGTTTCCAGATCAGTATGTCTATCTTTGTTTGTTTTGCCAAGCGTATAGAAGAAGAAGAAGATGTTTTATTTATATAGTGCCTTTCCATAGCTCAAGGTCACTTTACATAATGCTAAATTTGTATAGTGTAATTGCAGAGATTTAAAGAAAACTTCCAGTGGTTTAATACAATAATTAAAGAATACAGATCTAAGTAGTTTTATTGATTAAAATCAGATAATCAGAATTTGATCATTTCAGTTAAATGACCGAAACATTACAAAGGGTAATTTCGGTGATGGTACCTAACGTCAGTGAAATCATTCAGAATCATTTCATTGAACTGATGCAGTGTCATTACAGTAAACTGATTCAGATCATCAGCTTTAATTAATTAATTACATTTGTATCTTTGCTCTGTTGTATTTATTTGTGTTATTACTTGTAATTTGTTTAATTGTTCTTATTTTACTACTAAATGTTTTCTCTTTAATAATGTTTAAACTTTATATTAGTTAGGCTAGTAGTTTTTGTATCAAAAATGGAATTACAAATTGTGAAATTTCACTTCTATCTAAAAATGTGTTCATAAAACAAGTGAAATACTACACAACTACTTCAGATATGTGGTCAAGCAGAACGCTGCATTTATGAATGTAATGTATGTGTGTGTAAAGAAAGATTGTGATTAATCTTGTGATTAAGAAATCGCAATATTGATCAAAAAAATCGTGATCGTTTTTTGTCCATATCACACACAGACCTAGTCTATATGTGGTTGTTCATTGCTATAAAGTAAAGACGGTTACATCTTACAAAAGATCTATGTAGTATAACCAAATTACATTTATTTTCATATTAAACATCACAACAGACAATTACCACTCAGTTTAGCACTTTCAAACATGATATTTAATCTTAAATTAATCATAAAAATATATTTACATGAATATACATGGATGTACTATATACGTATGTACATTATTACACAATCATACGTTAATATATAATTTATTTATTTACATAAATATATTATGTCATCATAGTTTAATAAACTGTACACGATGCAAGTGTTCTGGGAGTAGGGAGCAGTGAACACTACGTAGTGATCCTGTCAATCGGAAAGCATCTAAAGCAGTTTCAGCCAACTGATTGCGAGTCGCCTCACCTTGGCTTCCTCCATCTGCATGATGTTGGCCTGGCAGTCAGAGATGCTGTCGTTGATGTAGTCGATGTTGGCCAGCAGAGACTCCAGCTCCTCATTCAGAGACTGAACGTCTTTTTCTACCTCCGGTTCTTCTGCCAGCAGTCTCTCTCTCTTTCTGCCGATCTTATCCCGCCGGCGCGTCAGCTCTTCACGTTGCTGTGAAAGGGATTTCAAATGACGAGAAGCTGAACAATTTTGTACATAGCCTTATTTTTCTTTTTATTTTAGTAAATGTTATCGCCAGTGTTGGGGTAATGCATTACAAGTAACAAGTTATGTAATCAGATTACTTTTCTATATCACTATGAGTTACTTTTTCAAATAAGTAATGCGTGTTACTTTGTTTTCCCATGTATTCACTGCCAGCTCTCCGGTCCCCATGTTGAGAGAAATCGGTAGTAAATTCCTGAGGTTTATTAATTTCACTTTTGGTGTAAAAGGGCCTTTACAATTGCCAAAATTACTTTAGATTTTTTTTGTTATTAAAAAGCAAATAAGCAAGCCCGGCCCAGCCCAGGTGACAAAAAGTAACGCAAAAGTAACATAACGCATTACTTTCCATAAAAAGTAACTAAGTAATGCAATTTGTTACTTTTTTATGTACTGTAATGCATTACTTTTAAAAGTAACTTTCACCTACACTAGTTATCTCACAATTACATAATTTAACATTGTTAAGTAGGTAAAAGGTTGATTCATACCTTTAGAAGACGATTCATGTCGGTCTCCATGTTGGAAATGGTCATGCGTTGCATGATAATATCTGAGACACGGCGTTCCAGACTCTGCCATTTCCCACGAGCCACTCGGGTAGAGTACGCCCCAACCGGCCTGCGATGGTACAATCTAAAGCAAACAGTTGTCCGTCACTGCAGAATGAGGTCATCTCCAGTACACACATGACCGCACATGAAGCCTGTATAATGTACCTGGCTCCATTAGGTGCTCCTGAGGCCGAGTATGTGCGACCTGCAGGTGGTCTGTGAGAGAGGTCCTGGCTTGCCTCCAGCAGGTTCACCTTTCGTGTGACCTTTCCTGATATGGGTCGCACCTGTCTCCTCAGAGAGGTCACCTGAGACACAGCAGCAATCAGTACAGGAAACCTTGGGAAAATGCAGTTTAGCCTCTTCTAACTTGCCAAAATGAACTGAGAGATTAAGAAAATTAAATATATCTAAATACCCAAATTGAAGGATCAATGTTTGTAGGGTAATTTTTCACTTACATAGTAGTAAATCTTCATAATGTTCAAATGTATTCTATGATTTAAGTATTTAGATAATAAATCTACAACTTAGAGGCTCCAAAAAGCATCTGGGAACTTATAGTATTTATCACAATTTTTAATTAGCTTTTATTTTTTATATATATATATATATATAGATCATTTTAGTAATTTTAATTTAATGTAGCTTTATATTATACTTACAATTATACTTATTTTTTTCAGTTAGTTGCCAACGCATAGTGTATAGGTGCATCAGTGTAGTTTTAGTATTATTTATATAATATTATAACATTAAATCATTAGCTTTTATTTTAATATTTTCAGCTTTAGTTTAAGTTTTAGTAATTTTATTATGTGCTTTTTAAATGTTAATTATTATTATAATTTTTTTTTTCAGTTTTAGTAATTGTAGTACTTCCAACTTTAACTTATTTTATTTCAGTTACTTGCCAGGGCAACATTCAATTTTTAAATTTAATTAACATAACATAACATAACATAATATAATATAATATAATATAATATAATATAATATAATATAATATAATATAATATAATATAATATAATATAATATAATATAATATAATATAATATAATATAATATAATATAATATAATATAATTCATCTGTATTTCAGTTACCAAAAACTATTTTTAAGTGCTTAAGTGCATTATATAACAAAAATATCAAAGCAAGTGATTTTTATTTTCAGGGTATTTGCATGTTTAAAAAATGAAATGCATAACCTTAATAATATATTTTAAATTAATAAATATGATTGCGTAATTAAAAACATATCAATGAGTCACACTTTGGAGGTGCAGTAGAGGCAAAATTGAGGGGAATATTTCACCTCCTCAGTCTTCCTGCGCAGGATAAGTTCCTGTTGTCTCTTCTGAGCTTCAAGCAGTTTTAGCTGATGCTGTACAAGAGAAAAACACACAGCACACTGAATGTATTTCACTGTCAGTTAGCTCTTTCATGCTGCATTAGTGTTATCCTCCCATCATGCACCTCTTGTTTGCGCTGGTCCTTCTTAAGTGTGGCGATCTCTCGGTTCCTGCGGGATTCGGCCATCCTGCTCTTCTCCTGCTGCTCCTTCATCTGCTTCATCAGACGCACCTGGCAACAGCCACCATAGCAACAGTCAGCTCATTTCAGTACTGGATTAGCTGTAGGATTCAGGCCATACACATTCATTAGATCAGAGTGTGGACTTGTTTGCAATAGCCACCAAACTACTTATATAACACATAAGGAGAGTAGTAAAGTAGTATGAAATTCTATTAATGTCATAGTTTAAGTCTTAGAATTATCTTAACTTTTCTCATGTAATATTTTTTTTGGGGGGGGAATAACCAAAATTATTAATATGATTAACTGTGATAAATTCAATTTTATAACTGGCATATCATGGAATCAATTTGATTTTGATTTAGTATATACAGTACATATACATATATACAATACATACACACACACACACACACACACATATTATATATATATATATATATATATATATATATTTATGCATTTTCATGAAGGGTAATAATTCTGATACTGATATTACATCTGGAATTGCCAATTTATAAAAATGGAATACAATTTAAATTAATTTGAACTATTGATATTTCTAAAAGATGTTGATTAGTAGTACACTTGTGTGCTTATAACACAATAAATGATATAATTTTGGATGTCAATGTTTATTTTTATAGTCATCTATAAACAATTTAGTGCAGATTTTGATAAAAGGAGCCAATTCTTCAATGATCTCTGCAGTATGTTGGTGTAGGGGTGCTGCGTCTGTGGACCACTAGGAGGCGCTGTTGATAATCAAATATTTTATGCTGTAACGGTGATTCAGCATGTTTCAGTGATTCAGTGCACAGCCATGTCTCCATGGTGACTCTCACTTTGGTTTTCTTCATATCCGCCAGATCCAGCTGTAGCTTCTTCAGTTGCTTCTCGTACTGTGACTGGTTCTTCAGTAGACGAGCGTGTTCCTTCTGAGCCGCCTGTAGTTTCTGGAGCTCTTTGTTCATGACGCCGAGTTTCTTCTCGTACTCTGCTTTTATCCGTTTGGTCTTGTCCTCAGAGCATGACTCCACAGAGCCTAAAACAACACAAAACAAACATACCGCGCAACAAAACAAAATAAACAACCCCCCACAAAACAAAATACAACAAAACATAACATAAAAAACAATACAAAACAAAACAAACAAAAAACACAAAACATAACAAGACAAGACAAAAAAAACAACAAAAACAAAACAAAACAAAACAAAAAAACCCACAAAACACAAGAAGACAAGACAAAACATGAAACAACACAGAACAACAAAAAACACGAAACATAACACAACAAAAACAAACATAACATAAAAAACAATATAAAACAAGCAAATAAACAAAGACAAGAAACAAAACAGAATTTCTTCAGCTTTTATCAGTGCTGACGCAAACATGATCTTCACGCTAGGAGCACTGAATGTGTGTTAGAAGCCATGGCTCCGAAATTAATTTAATAACTTATTGCGTCATATTTTATCATAAAGTCATCATGAAATTTACGCTATTTATGAATGTTTCTGGCCTCATTGTGAATGATTAATTACTGCATGCCCAAAGAAACACTTTAATAATCTTTCATTAAACTTCAATAACTACTTATAACTACTTATAGTCAAAAAAATACTTATTTTTAACTCCTCCCCCAAACGACCAGGCTGCATTCTGGTAGCAGTGCCCACTTTTTAAAACTCAATCTATTCCTGATGGATACAAATAAAAACCTACACTTTTCTTCTGGTTAAACATATGGCAGATATGAAAACTAAAATGGGCTGTTGCTGGCATGTTACGTTTATATTAATTGGACCCCAGCATCGTGCATCACGGCGTAGCGGTGGTATACGTGTCCTTACCCATGTTGTGCAGCACACGGTCTCGCTCCAGCTGCGTGTCTCTGATTTTGCTCTGCAGCATCATGAGTTTCTGCTCATACTGTTGTTTGAGCGTGTGCAGGCGTCTCTGACTGTTCTCAAGCTCATCGATCAGCTTCTGCTTGATGGCGATCTCACACGTGATGTTGGCCAGATCTGCCTGGAAGTCCTCTAATCAATGCAAAAACAATACAAACACTTATGTTTACAAAAAGACGGGCATTAAAACAGGCAACATTTTAAAATTGAAATTGGTTTAAAAAAGCAGAACTATGTGTGACCCTGGAGCACAAAAGCAGTCTTAAGTCGCTGGGGTGTATTTGTAGCAATAGCCAAAAATACATTGTATGGGTCAAAATTATAGATTTTTCTTTTATGCCAAAAATCATTAGGATATTAAGTAAATATCATGTTCCATGAAGATATTTTGTACATTTCCTACCGTAAATATATCAAAACTTAATTTTTGATTAGTAATATGCATTGCTAAGAACTTCATTTGGACAACTTTAAAGATGATTTTCTCAATATTTAGATTTTGTTGCACCCTCAGATTCCAGATTTTCAAATAGTTGTATCTCAGCTAAATATTGTCCTATCCTAACAAACCATACATCAATGGAAATATTATTTATTCAGCTTTCAGTTGCTGTATAAATCTCAATTTTGAAAAATTGACCCTTATGACTGGTTTTGTGGTCCAGGGTCACATATATTATATATGTGCTATATTGTATGTTTACAAAATAGCAAAACTCTTGTACTTCTTTAATTAAAAATAAATAGATCTGGCTTACTAAAATCCTGTTTTATATTATCATATAGCTTTCGTACTAGTATAAATCACTAAAAAGCAGTCATTTTATAAATCATATTGAGGTATAGTTATTATTTCACAGTAAACATCAGTACCCTTCTCATCCAGGTCAGAGTCAGACTCATCTGAGCTCTCCTCCGCATCCATTTCCTCTTCCTCAACGTCCTCCTCGTCTTCCTCTCCATCCCCCTCCTCACGGTCACTGGCCTCCTGAGGGAAACCATTTCATGTCAAAGACTGAATGATGAGCTCCACCTTTGAAATGTGTTCTGATAGGGCAAGCGGGCTGTCAATCATACCATCTCTGGCTCTTGATTGGTGGATTCTAACTGCTCTCTCTCGCTAATCTTCTGTCCGCCGTCATGTGTTTCATCTCTGTTGGCACTGCAGGGGGAAATCAAAACTAGGAATTAAAATCTGTTTTGTAATGTTTTTCAACATATGCTTTTTTTATAAGCAGCATAGATTGTCTGAAACAAAACAGAAAATTAGGAGGGAAGGAAAGATGGTATTATGACAGAAACATGATGCAACAGAAAAGTTAAATGATAACATTAAAAACAAAACTTGCTCTTTTGAAAACAGACAATTCAAAACTTTCTGTGACATTTTAGTAGAGAGATCAATTCTCAGTTGCTTATTAGCATGCCTATTATTAACACATTGGCTGTTTATTAGTGCTTATAAAGCACATATTCTGCATGACCATATTCTACATCCTTAATCCTTCCCAATACCTAAACTTACCAACTACCTTAACTATTAATAAGCAGCAAATTAGGAGTTTATTGAGGCAAATGCTGCAGTTAATGGTTTGTTAATAGCGAGAATTTGACTTTAAAATAAAGTGTGACCAAGTCTTCCTCTCCAGTTTACTTACACCATTTATTAAAAGCATTAAAAAATAGAAATAGAAATGTTGCCTTGGCAACTAACTGAAATATAATAAGTTTAAGTTGATGTGCTAAAATTATTAATACTGAATACTACAATTTAATACTAATATACTAACTATGACTACGAATAATAAAACAAAATTACATCTAAAAATGATAAAAACTGATAAAAATGAGAAAAGCACATTAAAACTAATGAAAAACATGAAAACTGAAAATATAAAAATTAAATATAACTCAAAATCATTAATGATTGCTATACCATTATATAAATAATACTAAATTAACCCTGCATCAGAGGATAGTCAATCATAACAGAGGTCATTTACATACAGTCATCAAAGTACAGCAGCCGAGAGAGAACGAAAAATCATCATACAAAAATAAATGTCCAGTGTTTATGGTAAGAGAATTACAAGTAAACCTTGTTTGGTGAAACATGTGTTGGTGAAATGTCACCCAGACAAGTTCTTACAAGATCTTGTGAGATTCACCCACTGCTTTAAAGGGGTCATATGATGCGATTTAAATTTTTCCTTTCTCTTTGGAGTGTTACAAGCTCTTGGTGCATAAAGAAGATCTGTAAAGTTGCAAAGACATTTAAAAAAATTATAAAAATCAAAAGAAATCAAAGTACACAAATGAAGTATAAACATTTTGTGGGCTGTTCTCCAAGACTGGAAACTACCTGCTGAGAGACAACCAGAATTAAAAGATTACGAGCAGAGATGAAACACAGGGGGTTATGGGTAATTATAGAGGGCAGCGAGGGGAAAGAGAGACACAGGGACAGACCTGTCTTCCTCCACCTCTTCCTCCTCATCCTCCTCTCGCTTGTCACTCAGCAGCTGCTGGAGTCTTCAGCGGTCAGAGGTCAGAGGTGAAGGGTGAAAGAGAGGAAACGAGGAGCACAGAGAGACAGAGAGAGAGGGTACGGTACACACATTAGTAAAGATGGCTGGTGATCACATGGAAATGTTCAATGTGGATAAGGACACATCATATTAAAATATATTATTGCTGATATGATATCCCTGTAGGTTTTTTTTTTGTTGCAGTTTTTCCCTAGTTATTTTAGTCCTCCATTGCATAAAACAACACAAAACACTGAGGAAAAACAACAACAACAACAACAACATAATTTTACAAAAATATCACAAATAAAGGAAGCTTTTAGAACTGATTCAACACAATGGAGAGCAAGTGTTATGCATTAAAGGTGAGATCGGTGTATTTTTCCTCCTTGGACTGATAGGAAATGTAGTTTGTTTGCACAATTTGGATAAAAGAGTGCCATTTTGCAGCAAGCTTTAACCCTTTCTGATACATATTTTCAATAGTTTCACTATTTTTATTATGTAAACAAACCATTGCAATATTATAAACTTGCAAGAAGATACTATCTGGGAATATATATGTGTAGTGTGCAGTGTGTGTGTTGTATCTGACCTCAGTGTGTTTCCCTACTGTTTACCACAGCATGTGTGTTTATATGTTAAACACTGTGGTATCAAATGTTCAGACATGTTCTAATTTGTTACACTGTTTATTTAAGTTTAAATTGTTAGAATGGTTTCTTCTATTATTTTGATCTTTTCATTGTTATTATTATGTTTCTCCACATATATTCCAAGTTTTCATCTTGCCACTTTCTTGGTAAAGAAAACACATTTATTTTATACTCAAATTAATCAAAATGGATTTATAGCATTTTGGAACCAAACTCTTCATATATTAAAAAATAAAAGATAATTTTTTTTTCTCTCTATTCACCATTAGCAGGTGTGGTAAAAGAACCGTTTACAGTCTTTACGATAATGCTTGACATAGTAATTACACATCTGAAAGAGCAATACAGCTCACCATGAAACCAGACAGATCTCACAATGCTTCTGTTTCACACAGCTAGAGACGAGGGGCAATTATTCATAACACACACTCACTCTCAGCCCGTTACCATGGCAACAGCCCCTCCAGATACCACCTCACACTGAGATCACTTTCACCCTCTTATTACCTCTTCTTTTTCTTCTTCTCCTTCCTCTTCAGTTTCTCCAGATCTTTCTTGGCGATCTCAATGATGTCGGAAGTCTCTTGGCTCGGGTCGGGCCCCAGCAGGGCTGGAGAGAATGTTCCAGACGATCCGTAAAACAGCGGACGGCTGGACACTCGCGTGAGGTTTCTCCTCAGGTTTTCATTCACTGCTTCACTCTCCAGAAGTTTGGCTCTGAAATACACACAAAAATTAAGAGTATGTGAGACAGACAGACAGACAGACAGAAGATAGAGACAGACAGACAGAAGATAGAGACAGACAGACAGACAGAAGTTAGAGACAGACAAACAGACAGACAGACAGAAGTTAGAGACAGACAGACAGACAGACAGACAGACAGATAGATAGATAGATAGATAGATAGATAGATGACAGACAGACAGACAGAAGATAGATGACACAGACAGACAGACAGAAGATAGATGACAGACAGACAGACAGAAGATAGATGACAGACAGACAGAAGATGGATGACAGACAGACAGACAGACAGAAGATAGATGACAGACAGACAGAAGATGGATGACAGACAAACAGACAGACAGACATACAGAAGATAGATGACACAGACAGACAGACAGACAGACAGAAGATAGATGACAGACATACAGACAGAAGATAGATGACAGACAGACAGAAGATGGATGACAGACAGACAGACAGAGGATGACAG